GGATTGTGCGCACACCATACCCCTACTATAAAGTAGACAGACCGTTTCCAAGAGGCCCCGGCTCAGATACAAACACAGTAGCACAAAGTAAGAGCACATAGACAATTTGGTTATACTTGTATTCGAAATAGTCAATTTTATACACACTTGTTGCTCATAAGCTAAATGTTTTGTAGTAATTATGACGTGAATTAACAGTTTCTCATCTTCCCATCGACATAAAAAAACATTGACGTGGCTCATAGATCCATTCTGGCCTTCCCCCGTTACATTTAAATATTTAATTTTCAGAGAGAAGCATATATTGAAAGTGGAATGATAAGTTTTAGTGTTTCCCTAATCCCTGATTCCCCTAATAGTCACTGATGAGTTAGAAAAAGTTTACGTGGAATGGCCAGACTAAAGTTTAGAATTTTGTGAACTATATCATTTTTCTTATTAACAGAGGTCGACAAGGAATGACTAAAAACAGCTTATATTAAAAACATAAATAGCACTAAGAAAATTTTACAAGGACTGAATACAATAACACAAGAAAAAAACATCATATTTAAGCTTCTCCTGTAAAATCTAGCTAAGTGAAGATGCGCAGGTTCACATCCACAATTAATTAATATGACCTTTATCTACCTCCGTACTTTCTGGTTGAGAAATGAGATGCGAGCAAGGTACAAGAGTCATACTTTGTCAAAACGTAAATGCAAAACGACATATTTTCCAACTCCTGGTTTGTAATTGTCCCTTCTGGATACGGAAGTTGATGTCCCATCCATGTTAGAAGGGCTGCTTCTCAATCGGCTGGCTAGTAAATCTCCTAATGTTCTGATATGTGGAACAAAAACCAGTGCCAAAAAGTTGACTTTGCAACGGAGGTGCTGGACATCAGAAGGCAGGCCATCGAAAGCTAAGCGATGAGAGAACGGAGCTACAGCAACAATCCCATATCTAGAATATACAGAAATAATGAAGTTCACATTTAGACATACGGTTCTTTCTTTAGGGTTTGGGCACCACAAACACTATTCAACTAGCAGGGAATATACCCGCATCTAGCAATTTGAATCAATAAAGAAAAGAAGATCCCTTATTTTGAGGCAGCCACATTATGTAGACTAAAATGAATGAACAACCACTTGTGATGGAATTTGTGATGGGGAAAGGGTAAAGGGTTACTGGATTGGGCAATAAGACACTTGGGTTGAACCACATTAAAAGATTGAATTCAATCGATTACTTAGTTCAACTTAAGAGGTTATGTAGTATATACCGATTATTTCTTTCTCACTTTTCCAATGTGGGATGCACTCTAACAACATGCATTGCCAAAGTCAAAAGGAGAGATTGAAAGGTCAAACTGTAGAATTGAATCCCCTTTCAATCCCATGATGCAAGTATCAACATAAGTGTATGGATATCGGATAATGATAGGAAATGAAAAAATGTCAACAAAAGTTAATTTCTTGTCTTTGGCTTTACTTTATACAAAATGCAAGAAAAATGAAATATGGTTGGGTTTTAGTGTTTTACCCCCCCGCCCCCCCCACACACACACCTCACACACAACCATATATTTAGTAACCTTTAGTAAATAAATAAAATGAGAACGCAAATTTCTAAATTAAGTTTAGATATTGAAAATGACATTCATTAACGGACCTCTGCATTGCTGGCAAAACATTTTCCAGATACCAAGTACCAGAAGCATGGACTGGTGCTGTCTTAATTCTAGTTTCCCGTATGCCTGTTGCATAGTACTCCCTAGTGCTCCATGAAAAGTCACTCGGAAGCTCTTTAACTATGGAGACGTCATCCTTCAATGCTTGGATAAAATGATTGATATCAAATATATCCTCAAATGCACTACAAGGAGAAAGATATATTCAAAAATTAACAATGATCATTCATTATATAGGCTTTAAGAAATCAAAAATCAAAATTGAAAATGGAGGCATTCTTGACCTTGTGTCCTGCCATACAGGATTGATATCAAGGTATGGAATTATGAGGGTTGCATTTAAAATTTTTGCCACGGCTACTGCATCACAAATCTACAGACATCAGAAGGAGAAATGTTCGTGAGGTCAAGCAGCTCAAGACATGAATTATTGTGATGCCAAAAATCAAAGTTGCATACCCCCATTCTTTGTTGGTTCAAGCCTCCATCAAGAAACACTTGTAGATATCCGCGAGACTTCCTCGGAAAAACTATATATAAGGTTCAACTAGACCAGAGTTAGGAGGACGCTCCCATGGGTTGCAAATGCAAAACCAAAAACAAGATATGTGATTAACATACACTTGAATATACTCACAGTGGTTACTTTGTGTAACACATGGTTTCCGTCCTTGGTTTGGTAAAGGAGACCAGGGATCCGATTCTTGTTCATTGGACTTCATGGATAGTAAGTCAGTATATACATACTCATCAATAGAATTTATGAAAGTTTTTTTTTAATCCATGCCCATTGGCTGTAAAAAAAAAGAAAACAAAAAAAAAATCTACTGACAGATGGATGTTGTTGCAGTGCTGCATTAAGTAAATTCAAGTGCACAGGCTTTGGAGCATTCCATTCCTACAGTTGCATGGAGCTACTGCATTAGATTAAACCCTCCACTTAAAAGACTGCAATGTGAATAAATGTATATAACATTTTTAGGAAATATACACTCAGTATATGAATATCAAGCCAACCAAACAAACCCAGTATATTCCATACAAGAGTCTACTGTCTAAGAGGGCAAGTTGTACACAAACATTAAACCTACCCCATGGTGTAGATAGGATGTTTCCGAGAGTGCTCCGCACAAGCACACTCCAAGTATACGAATGAATCATTTAATATCCAAAGTTCCAAACTACAAGCAATCTATCTCCAGCTCTCCACATTGTGCTTAATAGATGGAAAAATCCAAACAAGATATGAACTTCTATCATCAATTGCTTGGTTTAACAAATAGCCAACAACTACAACAACAAAACTCTAAGCAAAATACTGATAAAGTCAGATTTGATTTAGGAACCTCTAAAGCCAACACCGTATGCTTTCATATACACACTCATCAACATGTTCCCTGAAAGACTTATACAAGAAAGAGATCCAAGTTGTAAGCATTTTAACAAAAGGGGCAAACTAAACCAATCAATTTGCACAAAACACAGTTCTCCAGACACAAAGGAAAAAGTCCACTTGAATAACAACATATACCCCAATAAAATTACCATATAGTTCATATTGAGCAGCCCAGTGATGGTTAAAAAAGGAATATACTCTAAGCAGCCAAATGAAGGTTTAAATATGTGATCTTTTTGGCATTCTCTAAACAAATTATGAACTGTGTTCTATGCCAAGTTACTAGAAGAAGAAAAAAACAACCCAAAAGTGGATTTTCCATGATTTGTCCAAAACGAATTGCTTGAGTCTGTAAATTGAAAACTACTGAAAGATCGGCCATTCAAAACAATCTTAGATTATGATTAAGCTGGAGAGAGGGAGAGAAAGGCATACGGAAAATAAAGAAGTGTAAGTCCGGCCAAGCGGGGAGAAGAGGGCGGGGAAGAAATTGGGTAGGAGCATCACCAAAAGCGCCCCAAATTGAAATGGATGTGGAAACGCTAATCGCCCTCGAGACTGCCGGAAAACGCCGCCTCCCGACATTCTTCAAACGCCGTCGTGCTCCGCTGTGTCCGCCGCCCGGTGTCTTACAATGAGTGCACTGCGTAGTAGCTTGTGGCTGGGTTCTTTGCTTTTTCTCCTTTCTCCGGGTAAAATGTTATTTTCACACCATCACAGTGGCTCCTCCGTTAGCGCTCAATCGCCGCCTTGTGTGGCGGTGTCACTGTGTTCATAACGTGCTGTTAGATAGAGTAATAAAAAAGCCAAATAGAATACGATGTTTTTTTTTTCTCTTCTTCTCGATAACTTTTTTTTATTTATATATTTTAATTGAATATTTGATAAAATAAAATATTTTTATTACCTTCTCAACTTTTAACATTGTTTATTAATATATTCCGTATAATTTGTATTTGTTATTGATGTATCAATTTATAAATAAAATGATTTCAAAAGACGAGAGATTTTGCTTCGTAATTTCCAATTTGCAATCAAATTAGAGACGCAGCCACAGAGGGAGTAGATGAGGTATGCTCAAGTCTGGTCGGGCGATAAGTTTTGATAGCATATAAGTTGTAAGAAGTAGAGCTTGCATCTGATACTCGAAGAGGTTCTATTCTTGACATACTTACCTCTCAGTTTAGTTGCCAGAAATCGAACTTTGATCTTAGTCTCTCGACCATCTTCGCTTTTGACAACTACGTAAGTGTTAGATAAACCTTAGACCATCTTCATTCCTTAAAATAAAATTTATTCATTCAATCATTCTCTCTCATTCGTATTATCCTCGTATCGTCTAATATTAAATACTCTATTTCAAAAAAAAATACTACTACGTATATGCTTACCACGGTTTTCAACCATTGATTTTAGTTATTCACGGATCCTGGTTGTATATAATTTATTTATTACTTTTAATAATGCATACTCCATATTTTATTACAAAATGATATTAATTTTTTATTATAACATAATTGATTAATGAAAAAATTTCAAAATATATGAAATTTAATATTGAAAAATTATACACACACACACATATATATAAATATATGAACTTAATTACGATACTTTAATGAAGATATAAATTCAATAGTTTTAAAATTAATAAATAAAATTTATATTTTTTTTCTAAAAAAAAAAGAAGGAAAAAAATGAAAGAAATGAGTGTGCGTTGAAAACAAGGATCATTTTCTTAGCACAAGGATCATTTTCCATAATTGCATCGTTTGTGAATTAGAGTCGCTTTCTACTACAACCAAAATCTACAAATGTGGTCTTTCGTCAGAATCCTAGCCCACAATCATAGTCATAATTTTGGTGTTATCCGCTTAACAAATATCAGAACACGTCAATAGACATAATGTTGATGTCAAATTATACTTTTCGCCTTTAAATCAACACCAACATGACAGAAGATCAAAAAAGGATCATTTGTGGAAAGACACCCTTAAAAAAGGACTACGAGGGTAATATTTGATAATAGATGACTAAATATGGAAACCCCCCTGTTATAAAAGACCAATTATGGAATTTACTCTTTGCAAAATGAGTTAACAAGATTGATGTCCACAAACAGTTACTCTATTCGTCCTGAAATGTTCTTCCCACTTACTATTCACACGGTCAAACTTTAATCACTTTCTTTACATATTTTCATTAAATATTTGATAAAATAATATAGTCTTGTCACCACTTATTTTGTAGAACTTTTGATGTAGTTTTTAAATATATAAAATTTATGTTTTAATTTTACACCTACAATCAAATAAATTGAATTAAAAATAAAATCGGTCAAACTTCGTAAACAGAACCGGGAAGATCATTATAGGACGGAGGGAGTATTTACTAACTATACAAAGTTTAGAGTTCTTATTGCTCCCCATCTACTGCTAAATTATATGCACCATTTAACAATATTTTGTATATCACTCTAACAATAATTGTAGTTTTAATTCTTGTAGTGCCAATTACAACCCAAAAATTTCCGAATGTAATATGATTCGCGGGCACGAAAATCATACCAAACTCAAAATCTATTATCCCGCTTTAATTTATTCTCATTTATTTATATACTCCGGTGCAATAATTATAATAATAATAATAATACTAATAGAGTGTTGCTATATCCACCTTCATGTTGGCTATACCCCGTCCTTTTATATTAGATGCTCAAATTTGTTCTTAAAAGTGATCTTACATCAAGATTCTCTTTTGTACTTTTGAGGTTGATTTAATTTATTCTCATTATTATTAAATTCACAATTTGTGGCTAAAAAAAGTCATTGTTTGACAAAAAAAATCAAGGCAAGAAGATTTTTCTGGGACAGGAGTAGTATTAATTACGGAACGAGCCGAGTATATTTGACCTTAGTCACTATGCACTTTTGAACCAGTTCCAATAAAACCTTTGACCAAAGTAGTGACTGGTTCAAAAGTGCAACCACTACTTACTCCATACTAGATGATGATTGTACTTAGTCACTATGCACTTTTGAATCAACATTTGACCAAAGTAGTGATTGGTTGGTTCGAAAGCCTTGAGTGCACGCACAACAAACAAACATTGAATGTGTGTGGGTATCTGCTCCACCGTTCTTTTGACACCCCTTTTGAGTGTCATAATATGACACCCGAACCTACACTTGCCACCATTAAGCCCGGAATCAAACCCTTCTCCTAACCCCAAAACAAAAACCCCTACCCTCAGACAGGGGATACTGCAAAAAAATGAAACACAAACGATCAAGAAAATCTTAACGCCTAGACAAAGAAGACAAGCTTGAGAGAAGAATGATTCACATTTCATCATATTCATGTTAGAGCAGGTCCGTTTGTCTCTATATATAATGGCACATACGCCCTACAATTACAACGGGGAAGAGAGGCAAAAAAATTATGGGTGGGTGGGTATATGTTACACGGATGGGGGAGGGGGGGCTACGGAATACGCCCAAACTCTAAACCCCAACTCTACAGCTAGCTCATAAGTTAACGGGTGATTCGTTTATTTACCATCTACAATACAAAAAGCTTTAAGTTATATATGTATATGAAAAGCTCCGGATTAGGGTAGGGTCTGACCTCATCTGCATCTCATGTTCCCATGGGCTTTGTCAGATCCTAACTTACTGCCTCTACTCCCACCTAAACTTCTACAATGTTTGGCTGTTGGATCTGACACAGAGTGATACGGAACACTACCTTTGCTTTTTGAGGCCATCTCCGTGTTCTTCTGCTGGTTAAAAGAGGAAGTTGTGTAACGGTCCATGTCAGCGAGGGGTGAATGCCTTGAAAAAGGAGATGATGATGAGGATGATGATGTGTCAGAATCCGGAGAATTCCTCCAAACTCCTTCCGGATGATCACCGAAAAATTGGTCAGCAAAATCGTCAATGGAATCTCTGTGGCTGCTGTCTGTGCTGAAAGAACCACCTTCAGAGAAGAGAGATGATGAGTTATCGCTGGAAGATGAGTCCTCGAGCATGGTTCTCTGATGATGATGATGGTGATATGTCCAAGGCCCTGTTTGGGCAGAAGAACTAAAGCATTCTCCACATCCCTGGCTGCTTGATGAGAAATCCCATGAGTTTTTATGAGAACTCGATTTACAGTTAAAATGTTTTGGTGCACGCGGATCTGAACTCCTTATCAACCTCGGGGCCCGTGGGGAGCACCTAATAAAGGATTACATGTTAGACATTATGCTCCCTCAGGTAGGGACTTAACCATAGAGAGGTAAAAGTATGTTACCTCGAGTAGAGAAGCATGTATGCTCCCTTTGACAAGACACACTCTAGTTCCACAGGTTTTACCTACAGCCATATGTATATATGTGTCCATAAGAGTCCACCGTGTAAATCACGAGAATGCAAATATGAAATGAACATAAACCCTTCTCGTTATCAAGGTTTGTTTGGGAACAACGTTTGGAAGTAGCATTAGCATTTTTTTGGATAAATCTTTAATTGTGCAAATTAGCTTTTGGAAAGCATCTTTAATGTCAAAACATTCATTTTAGCCACAACTTTAGCATATTCAGCCATTGAAGGCATTACCAAATGGGCTACTAGGTTGGTGATTCACTACATTTGATGTTTCCAAACATACCGTGCTGTCATCAACTTCGAACCACTTATTTTGATAATTCTTGACATAGCATACATAGTGACCAGAAAAGGCAGCATTCATGACATCCAAGTGTACGATTACTCCATAAAGCCGATAAATCGGTGATTTATCACTCGTACCACTCATGTATGATGCCAAATTCAGAATCTCGGGAAATGTGATCATCTTGTTCAGCTTCCCAAATTGACCTGTCTGGAAAAGAACAAAGAGTGATCAAGCAGCAAGGAAAACAAACTTAAAGCTGATTCAAGGTGCATAACTATTACCTGAAATCTCTTTAACACAATAGTAAGGACATTAGGGGCCTCTAATATTTTCAACTTCTTCCGGGCCTTCTCATACGATTTGCATCTGATGAGACAATGCAATTCCAGTTAGTTGTATTATGCAAGTCTACGAAACACATCGGTAAGTGGTAACACAAAATTTGTTACACAGAAAGAACAGAGATTGGGAAGCATATTCAGGGCCAGTTTGATACGGGTAAAGTTGGCTAGAATTGCTGAAATTGTGGCTGATATTGCTGAATTATATAGTTAATAATACAAAATAAAATTTGTGGAAAAAAACAAAAAAAACAATAAGTATATATGAAATTGGCTAAAATGGTCATATTCAACAGCATGGACCCAAAACACTGACTGATAAATTAAAATAAACAGAAGCTACCAAACAGCCACCCACC